AGTTACCAAAAATCTCAAAGAAAATAACATCCTTGAAAACAAAGAAAACTGGAAGAAAAGCTATTCCCACAGAGAGAGAGATAAAGAAATTCACACCTTTGCATGTAAAAACAACGGCAGCAGACTTTTTTACAGAAGAGCTGATGGAGGCGGGGAAGGCACTAGATGCTAAGAATCACCTAGATCTAATAGAGTTTTATCAGAAATTGTCAAGATAATTTGTGTCATGGAATCTGTAGTTCTTTTTGTTAGGTAAGTTATGTGTTCTATCTCCTTTGAGAAATCAGTTTTTGTAATTTTTGGTAATGCACTCTTGGAGTCTGAGAAAATAATAGAATATCTAATTTTCCTTTCCAGTATTACTTGAATTGAATGATTAATAGCAATTACTTCTGCTGTGCAGATTTTGGCGTGGTTGTGTAGTCTGAAATAAAACGCATAAGACTCATCAGGTGAAAAGACTCATAGTAGTGTTTTGCTCATTAGATCGACTGAACCACCTGTGAAGAATTTTTTGTATGTTGGGAACGTTCTTACTATATTATGTAACATGTTTGTCTGCTGATAGTCTATCTTTTTGGTATCACGATTAAGAATTTAGATGGTTTCGAGTTGTAGGTCCACTTCATATTTGTGGCAAGGTAGCATATTACTAGATAGGGTAATAATCCAAGAGATGTCACTAAAGTGGATTTTTCCGTATTTTTCTAGTATTTCTTATCTTTTGTATTCAGGACTTTTAATTTCATTACATCTCCTGTGATGGGATGGTTTTCTACGTTTAGATTTTCTAATATAAATTTTTTTTAATGAATCTATTTAGTAAATTTTTTAGGGTTGGTTTCATACATCCTGTGATGATTCTTTTGCTCCTGTAATGCATCTGGTTCACTTTCTTAGATATGTATTAAGGACGTGGAGAAAATATTTGGCAAACATATTTCAGGAAACTCAAAACAAGTGCTTTATGTAGGTAGTATTTTTAGTACTTTGTGGTCAGAACCTCACTATGTTCCACATATAAGTAAAAATAAATATTTTTCGGCCAGAAGTATAGGTACTTAATAAAAATCAAAATACGTAACTTTGACATGGATTTTCAGTCGGTACTAGATACGACAAAGTGTGACAAATCTTCTACGTGTATGCAACCCGTGTTGCAATGTATTTGGATGTATGTTGACTACTCTGTAGGTCGCGTTGCGTCATATATTATTAGTCATTAGTCATGCGCCCTACTGAAGACAAAAGCCATAATTAATCCTAATTAAAGCCTGTTAATCGTTAATATTTGTTTTGTTCATTAAAGAATAATATTATAATAAATACACGTCAACACTGAAACTACATTCGTTCTTTAAGTAAAGTAATCAAATGAACTCAACGGTACTTAAAGGGGAAATAACAACATGCCCCACTTATAAATTGGCGCCCTCCATGCGGCATTATTTTTCTTTTGTGAAAGTTAAGTTGAGTGTTGCTTAATTGTGTGTTTCGTTCTGAAATGAACAAAATCTGTTGTAGACACTGGTTATTTTTCAGTTCCGCAGAATTAGTAAAGACTTTAAATCGGTATAAGACAGTGTTGTTTAAGTTCTCTACGCAATTTACTCTTTCTATAAATTGTTTATGTTTCTTCGATCAGAAAATAAAGTTGCACACATTACTCAGAAAGGTGAAACAGTCCCACAAGGAGTGATAACGCAAGACATGCATTAGAGCTTAATTACAAGTTTCCAAGGTATTAACAATCAAGGCCAAACTGTAGGTACTTCCAATTCCAACTTCTCAGCATGTAAACTTTTTCCGGAAAACTAAATGAAGATGCCGAGGCATTTATTGATGCCATTATGGTTTACAGTCTGTCTTAATATTTCTGATCATCACTTGTTAAAGGGAATGTCTATGCTTTTGATTGATTCAGCTGCGACGTGGTATAAAGGTGTTAAAAGGTCCATTCAAATATTTAATGAAGCTTCAGAAAGTCTTCAGCATGCATACGGTTTTCCAAAGCTGGCGTATTTAGTTTATCGTGAACTTTTTGCTGTCGAACACGATAACAATGAAAAACCCGACGTTTCTGGCGCATCTGCAATTTCGGAACATGATAAACTTGATATGGTATTTGTACTATTAAATGCATCTATTATAGTTAAGGTAACGAGAGACTCTATATCTAATTTTAGAGAACTTTTTGAAGCAACTCGCGTTGTAGAATAATCACTACATATTATAAAAGCGTTCCGAATATTTCCGTACATAAAACAGAAAATAATTCAAGTAGTACCCGAAAATCAAAATAGTGTTCTTATTGTAAGAATTTTGGACACCAAAGGGACGACTGTCGTAAACTAGCGTCTCACAGTAAACAAAAATCTACTTCTTTAAGTAACAACAGTTAGTACAACGCAACCTTTTTCAAATCCCAACGTTGCCAATATCAACGAAAATTCCCAGGTATTCTGCTATGGTTGTAAAAGCCCAGGTTTTATTAAATCAAGTTGTCCCAAGTGCAATAAACTACGCCTTTTACCAAAAATCCAATCGATGTTTTCCTTACCGAATGTACGTGTTTAAAAAAGCACAGCTCAAACAAGAGCTTGATACACTTCTTAATGACAGAACTTTAGAGTGTGAGTTCCCATATGCTTCGCATGTAGTATCGGTTCCAAAGAACGATGGCGGAACTCGTCTTAGAGTAGATTATTGTAAAATTTGAGGACAGCAACAAGACGTCTTTTATTTGCCTCACATTTCGCCATAAGCGCATGCTTTGTGAACTACTCAATGCACCTTCCACTTTTCAGCGACTTATTGACACATTTTGCTCTAGTTTATCTAATTTTCATATATTTGCTTACTTAGATTACCTAATTATTCTATCCGCTAAATTTAGTGAGCATCTCACTGACCTTGAGTAAGTATTTTCTCGGCTAATAATATTTAAATTATATTTAAACCGTTTAAGATGTAATTTCTGTAATTAACCTAGGTCATGAATTCACTTCATCTGGTATAAAGCCTGAACCAAATAAGGTTGCCAGTATTGTCAAACGACCTATTCCTAAAAGTGTTAAAAGAGCTAACTTCATTCCTACAAGCATGTTCTTGGTTTATACGTTTTATTGAAAATTTCGCTGTGCGAAATCAGCAAACCTGTGTCCAATTTTTTTAAGAAAAATGTCCCTTGGACTTGGACCGCAAGCTTTTAACCAACTTAAAATTCTTCTGTGCTCTAGCCCTATACTAAGACAGGCTGATCCTAACCTACCCTGTACTCTTAAAACCGACGCTAGTTTTTAGGCATTGGGAGGTTGTTTACTTCAGAGGGAAGGGATCCGAGGAGAGACTAGTGGAATACGCCAGTCATCTCCTAACAAAGTCTGAACAGAACTACTGTACTACTGAACTTAAAGCCTTAGCTGTCGTGTGGGCAGTAAATAAGTTCAGAGAATATATCGAAAAATGTCAAATCAAAATACAAAGTGATCATCAGCCTCTAAAATGGTTAATATCTCTCAGATCTCCGTCTGGCCGACTCTCGAGATGGGCCTTGTCATTAAAATGGCCTATGACTTAAAAATATGTCCACCATGCTATCCTGTCCACCAATTGAAAATTTTGATGTTAATCTTGTCCAAGTTGACTTACCTTAACAAACTGCCAGTGATTTAAGAACAGAACATCCAGCTGTAAGATTCGCCATGAACTTCGTTAAATCGAAGTCAACAGGTTATAGTGTCGCGTTTCTAACCTTCGGTCGTGAATTGCGTACTGCAGACAAAGCACAACGAGACTTTCGGACTATTGTATAAAATGATAAATTCGTACCAGAGATAACCACGTACCTAAAGACTCTCAGTAGTGTTCTATACCAAGCTCGCGAAAATTACGAAACGAGTTAAGATCGCGCAAAGGCATATGCCGATAAGTATCACCGCGCCAATGTGATGTTTAATGTGTCGGACAAAGTGTTCGTCGACGAGCATGCTCTTAGTAAAGTGAATGACTCTTTCACGCCAAAGTTCGCTCCCAGTCACGATGGTGACGTGGGTACATAATCAGACGATACATAATCACCAAGGTGGTTAGCCCAACCAGCTATGAGATATCGTGGCTACAGAACCTAGCCGAACCTTTAGGTAAATACCATGTATGAGCACTTGTGTTCTACCGTGCTGATACCGACAGTGATTATGGTATGTCTCGTAATCTGTTTGTTTCCATTCGCAGAAGAGGAAGTCCCCATCAAAACAGTATTAGCCGTGCCTGATGAAACCCATGCTCACGTATGCGAAAAAGAAGCGTCGTTTTGCTTCATACAGATGCCGAGGCGATCCTTCTAACAATAACTGATCTGTGAATAACACCTGACCCGAATGATGATCCTCCAGTGAGCGAGCCTCCGGAGACATCCCGTCCAGAGGCCTACCTGCCATTGTTGCCTTCTATTCAACCTCCCCCTTTGCTTCTAGTTGCGTGAAGCAAATGCGGTGGTTGTAACAAATCTCCTACGTGTATGCAACCCGTGTTGCAGTGTGTTTGTGTGTATGTTGCCTACCCTCGCAGTCGCGCTGCGTCGTGTATTATTACTTATATTATGCTATGCGCCCTACTGGAGACAAAGGGCATACTGGAATTATTATTATTGACTTAAGAAGTTATAACGAATCATGTATCTTTTTAATCTAAGTCCTGTTAATCGTTAATCTTTGTTTTGTTCATGTAAGAATAGTGCTGTAATAAATACATGTTAATATTGAAAATACATATTTTCCCTAAGCAAAGTAATCAAACAAACTCAACGGAAATAACAACATACCCCCTTATATAGTTAATAATAAATAAAAAAAAATTAATATTAACATTCTATAGTATAAACAAAGCAATAAATGCAACAAATCAATATATTAATTCTACAATATTCAAGAGTCTATGCATTATGAAATAACGTAATAAAAAACAATTTAGTAAAAAATTTATTAAACATCTAATACTAATTATTCATCAAATAGAAGTGCGTAAACTCCAAAACCTAAAGCAACATCTGTTTGATCCCAGAATCTATGGTACTTAAACTTTGGTGCGGGACCACCGTTCATATAATTTTCGATCTTGTACCATTGCGGATCCTTTTTATAAAATGATCTTAAACTAACAAAGGTTGAATTCGAATCAATAACGTCACCATTAGGATAAACTCCATGAAAATCTTTTGGAACATAAACAGATTGGTTAAAGTGAATCTCAGGTTGTTCTTCCACTGAAATTCCTAATGGTGTGCGATGCAAATTCCATAAACTATCAAGTATTTTTTTAGCGAGATTCTTTGCTTCAGCGTGATTAGCTCTAGCGGCATAATAGGATAACGTTCTGGCGGTAGCTGCTGCAGGTCCTACTGCATTTCCATGGTAAACTATCTTGCAATGCACATTAGGGGGTGCTCCAGACCAATCCAATGTGCTGGGTATTTGATAATCATCTCCTTCGAAGTAAGTATTTGTGATTATCCAGGACACCCATTTATCTAAAGTTTTCTTAGCCTTCTCGTCTCCAGTTATATAATAATATTGAGCCAAACGATCAGTAGACCAAGGTTGCATTCCAAACCATTGATTTGAAGGAGGATCATATGCAACAGGTTCCCAATTATAAAACATTCCATGGAAAGTGTTATTCATTAATTCTTGTGGTGGTTGCTCATATCTACCATTCCAGCTGTTAGTAACACCACCTGCAAATGCACCTTCAACAGATTGTAGATATTCGTATAATTCTAGCTGTCTATCTAAAGATTTTTGCCAATCTTCAACTGCAGTTGCACCGCTGGGGGTCATATTAGGTTCGCTAATTAAGGCGTAGGCCGCCATGGGATTTTGGTATCCAAAATGAGCAACGCCATCTGAAATTCTCCAGGAATATCCATTTTCTGAAGACAATGAGCCACCAAATCCGACATACCATCCTAACAAGTAATGAGCACTATCCTTACCAGTACCGCCTGGACATTTATACGGATCTATGCAATTACCAATTCTCTTAAAGCTCTTATCGTAAAAGCAATATCTTAAATAATCTCCTAATTTACCAGCCTTTTGCAAAGTATTGGTTATCTGTGATAATTGTCCACTTTTAGTTGCCCATCTCGAAGCCCAAAATGCTGCTGCAATGGCTCTGGCATCTGCATCTGGAGCAACAGAATATTGCCAGCTAGGGACATGATTTCCAGTAGAAGTTATAGCACCAAATCCTTCTGGGCCACCATATTTATGCGAATCGCAGGTGGATTGTGGAATTGTTTTCCAAGCATTCTCCCTAGGTCCTCTTTGATATGTATTAATAAACGATGGTCCAGGCTCATTAGGACCAAGTTCGCAGTTTCCAGGACTAGTACCAAAGCCGTAAACATTATCTACATCTGTCAACCAGTGCATTGCGTAAATGTCAGAAGTTCCATATGTGTCCACTAATTCTTGATATAAGGGATCGATTCCAACTGGTGCAGGAGGTTCAAATGGTCCCAGAGGATAGTCTTCGGGATATTCCTGTTCTGGAGCATAACTAGAAGGATAGGAGGGGTTATATAGATTGGTATTGGGTTGACTTTCATGTACAGGGATAATATATTTCTCCATTATTTCCCACGCTTCATTAAATCTTGAAAAGTTATTTGTAATACCACCATACATAGCTTCTAACCAAATATAGTAACTGTGTGTTTCCGATGTTGTCTCATGACCGTAATCAGTCGCCTCTACAACTAGAGTTTCAACAGCGTGGTATGGTATGCCTTTTGAAGAAAAGTATCCATTATTGGGGTCGTGCATTTTATTATACTGTTCCAGAAACCTTTGCTTATAAACACTTTCAGAGCTTGTAAAATTTACAATCCCCAAAAGGAGAAGTAAATATAATGTCGTCATCGTTTTTCAATTATGTTATCTAAAAAGAATAAAAAAAAATTATAAGATAAATATATTGCTTAAGCCGCCAATTATTACCCTGTATTTTATTTAGAAATATACCAAGGACCTGTGTCCTTGGAATGTTTCTTAAATTAATTATTAAACCATTAATTTACATTACAAAAACCGGTTTTGATATATGGGGCTGAAACGTGGACTTTATCTCAAAATGATGAAAGACTTCTTGGTATTTTTGAGAGAAAAATTCTTAGAAAGATTTTTGGGGCAGTAAATGAAAATGGGCTATGACGTCGAAGATACAACTTTGAACTATATCAGTTATACAACGATCCAGATATTGTAAAATTCGTTAAAGTGTAGATACTTAGATGGGCTGGGCGCATTTCTAGGATGTCAGATGACGAATACACGAAGAGATTAACATTTTCAAAACCAGAGGGCACAAGAAGCAGAGGACGACCACGAATGAGATGGATTGATGATGTGGAAGAATACCTACAGATTCTAAGGGTTAGAAGATGGAGGAAAGGTGCCAGGAATCGACAGGAGTGGCGACTTCTTTGTGAGCAGGTCAAGATCCATAACGGATTGTCGAGCCACTTATGATGATGATGAATAATTCCCACCCCCCTTTGGGGTCACTGAACAAGAACTGGAGCAAGATTCGCTAAATCCAAATATTAAATAATATTTTGCAACTGTCACACATCAAAATGTACCTAAATTTATATCCAAATCACAAACAATAGTTTTTCCTGCACTGGAAAATACAAAGTTGAAAGAATATTTGTTTGAAGTTGGTAATTTAATGCATCTCCAAAATATATTCTTTTCTCCCCTAGAATGTCAAAAGGTTGAATTTGCAGTTACCTAACAAGCGAAGAAGGAAGAAGATCTGTTGGCCGAAGGCAGAACTCATGGTTAAAGAATCTACGATATTGGTACCAATGCAGATCGATTGATTTGTTTAGAGCAGCAAGTTCTAAAATAAAAATAGCCATTATGATTGCCAACCTCCGTAGGGAGACGGCACTCTAAGAAGAAGAACAAGCGAAACTTTTGTTAACAATTTTCTACAAATTAACAAAGGAATAATAACCGTAAACCACCAAAAAATTCAGGCTCATAAATTAATGTCACCAAATGAAAGATTATTGATATCAAATATTTGTCCTTCAATCCCACATTCAATTATTGAAGATACACTTTCTAAGTTGGGATTAAATATGGTAACTCCAAGCACGGAGTATACGATCAAACGCATAAAATTGCAATATCTGGGACACGTTATGAGAAATCAGCACCGTTACTCCCTGCTACAGTCTATATTGCAAGGTAAAGTCAAAGGTAAGCGAGGACCCGGTAGAAGGAGAACATGGCTGCGGAATTTAAGAACATGGTTTAAGAAAACCTCAACGGAGCTGTTTCGAGCCGCAGCGAGCAAGGATTGCCAATATGATTTCCAACATCCGAAACGGATAGGAACCAGAAGAAGAAGAAGAAGAAGAAACTCCAAGCAATTTAAAAAAAAAATGGTACATCAAATCCTAATTACAAACAAATTTTCAGTTTCAGAAGGCATACTTTTCTTTCTTCTCCAGTCTCATCAATACCCTACTTAATAATTGTACATTATAAAAAAGCATCGTATATTACTTGTAATGGAGAAGAATCTATGTACTAATTGCAGGCAATCGAGATATTCGGCTGAAAATTCCTTAACTACTTCGGAAACTCAAACATCTTAAACACGAAATGCTGCTCCAACTATTTCAACTGATCCAATAAAAAATACATACTATCGACTAAACCGGGTATACATTCTACTCATGTTGCAGAAACCAACAAATGTCACACGATCCTTCTTCAAACAAAGGAAATCGTTCTGAAATTATAACTTCTCCACCAAATGATTTACTCCAGCAGACCAAAAATTAAAAAAAGCCAATGTCTTCAATCGCAGACATGGGAACCATTAAACTAACTGACGATATAAAAAAATTCAGCTAGACGAAAATATAAAGATACTTTAGTAATCCATTTAATATCTTATGAAACATTAGTAGATATATTGGAAACTACTCATGGTAAAAATGATCTAGAAAGCCTATTAAAACTATTAAATCAACGATATGAAAATTGATTAAATATATAATCAAAAAATAGATGCACTAGACTTGAAAACAAAATACATAAATGCATAAAATCAAAACAAACACCGAATCCGATAGTGAAAGTGTAAAAAATATAATAATGGCTATCTCAATTATCCAGTGGAACCTACGAGGATACTACACTCTTCTAGAGAGGTCACAACAAATGATTGAAACACTTACATCATCCATACTATGTTAAAAAGAAACTCATTTTAAAAATACTAAAGTTCGTAATTTAAAAAACTTTACCTGAACATATAAAAACAGGAAAAATGTAGATTATGCTAGGATTATGCGATCTTCAGAAATTCTTCAAATCAATACATAAATTGAAGCAGTCACAAGTACTATTAAAGGGCATATAAAAATCAACATATTATGTAACATATACATTCCACCTACACAAAACCCAAGCAATAATAAAATCTCAGATTTGATAAAACAAATACATTCACCTCGTCTAATACTTGGAGATTTTAATGCACATAATTATATATGGAGATAAAAAAAAATTACTCATTAGGTCGTAAAATCGAAATATTGTTAGACAATTTTCAGTTAAACCTACTTAATGATTGAAGAAATACTCATTTTGACATTTCAAGTGGTAAATTCTCTGCTGTAGACCTTTCAATCCAGCATTATTAGCTACCTTATCTTGGGATGTACTTTCTGATTTAAACGATAGCGACCTGTTTCCGATTGTAATAAGAAATCCTGACAGTATATAATACTCTTGTAATGTGGTAAAATGGAATATCAAAAATGCAAATTGACAAGACCATTATAATCTAGTTTCAAATGAAATGAATACATTACGAATAAATTTACAATCAAAATAATATTGATACTCCAATTGGTTCTCCAATGTATTATTAAATGCCGCCGAAAAAGCCATTGGTAAAATGAATTTTAAACAAATAAATTCATCAGTCCCTTGAAGGAATTCTGAATGTCAAGAAACTATTAAACTTTCAAAAACACTTTCAATACACTTGAAAGTAAATTAGAATTCAAAACTAAAAGCTCGGGCTAGATTCATCATTAAAAGAAGTAAATGTGAATCATGGAAAAAGTGTTTATTTCAGAATTAAATTCATCTATACCAATTAATAAATTGTGGCAATTGATACGGAAGATGTCCGGAAAAAATACCCCAAACCACATTAACTTCTTAGAAGAAAATCAAAAAATATACACTTCCCCTCTAAATATAGCCAATATTCTAACTAATACTTAGTTTTGAAAGATTCTCAAGCGACGATATTCTTTTTCCAGATTTCTTGACCAAAAAAGAAAGGGCTGAATCCAAAGGTATTGATATATCGCCTGATGACCTTTTTCCTTTAAATTATTCCATAACCATGGATGAATTAGAATACTCACTCAATATTTCTTCAAAAACTTCCTTCATCTTCAAAGTAACAGTTGCTAGATATCTACAATAATACATGGAGACATGGCAAGTTTCCGAAAATCTGGAGTTCTTCTTCCGTCATCCCTATTTATAAACAAAATCAACCAAAATCTCTGTCACATTCATATAGACCCTATTTCTCTAACTTGTGTAATATGTAAAGTCCTCGAGAAAATCATATCCAACAGTTTAATGTGGTTTTGAGAAAATAAACAATAGAACAAAGCGCATTCCGGAAAGATCGTTTAGAGTCTGAGATTCATAAAGCAATGGCAGGTGGACAAAAATGTATCGTAGTATTTTTTAGAATAATTAATTAATCAAATACTTAGTCGATGGGGAATAAAAGTAATATAGCACAATTCATAAAAAAATTCCTATCTGATCGAACTTTTAATGTACGAGATAACGGTACTTTATCTAATATAAAAATTCAAAAAAACGGAATTCCCAAGGGTCTAATTTAAGCAGCTCTCTATTTCTTATTACAATAAATAATCTGACGATTTAATCATTTTTGTTGAGGGAATAAATAATAAAACTCTCCAAGCTTATCTACAGAAAGTACTATGAAATCTCGAATCATGGATAAATTCTACCGGTTTTCAATTATCAACAACAAAATCAAAGGCTATGTTATTTTCAAAAAAGGGGTTATATCACTCCAGAATTAAAATTATTTAGTAAAGAAATAAGTATGTTGAGAAAATTACATCTTTAGGCATGACATTTGACAACAGATTATCCTAGAATCACCACATTCATCATCTAAAATGTACTTGTCAATCTGCACTTAACATTATAAAAACTGTTGCGCACAACATTGGGGAGCAGAGAGTAAAACGCTGACTCTTATGTACAAGTCATTGATCAGGTCCAAACTCGATTATGTTTGTATTGTTTACGATTCAGCCAAACTATATTTGATAAAACAACTCGATCTAATACAAAATACTGCACTAGGTGCCTTTTATTATACTAGCCCTACTGAAAGTTTTTACTATGAAGCTGGAGAAGTCCCCCTGGAATGTTGAAGAAAACAACTTTTACTAACATCTGCGGCATCAATACAGGCAAATGCTATTAACCTGTGACTGACCTGAATGAATAACCTGTAACCCAAAGGAATCCTGTTAACCACTATGTAAATTCAAACCGTTTTAGGAATATTTTTACAACACATGCTATATGGCTTGTATATTATAAGCTTGATCTTCCTTTTTATGAAAGGGTAAACAGATACCTCTGAACTTGAATTCAAATTTCCAGAAACCTATTTCTTACCAGATATCAACACTGTTCCTTCTTGGATTGTTTCCATGCCAACTATTAATGCCAAACTTTTCATACATAAAAAAGCAGATAACCATCCCAAAGCATTATATCAATAGGTCCTTCAAGAACTCCAGACATATAGTAATCCTAATCTCATATATACCGATG